TCTGGGAGTTGGTGATGCTCAGGGAGGCCTGGTGTGCTATGGTCCATGGGGTCACAAAGAATCAGACATGACTGAGCGACTGAACTGAACTGATGCAGACCCACTGATTCAGAAATTCTGGGGGTGGGGCCCAGCAATCTATGGTTTGAGAAACACCAGCTGAGTCTGATATAAGCCAGAGTTTGAGAACTACTGGTGCAGTGGAAAGAATACTAGACTTCGGAAGGAAGGTGGGGAGGGGCCTGGGGAGGGAGGCATGAGTGGGGAAAGTTGCAGTCTGCCAGGTGCTATTGTTCAGAGAGCAGCGAGCCACATTACATACCTGCTCCTTTAAGGTGATCTGAGGAGGAACTAAGAAAGGTATGGGCCACCTTGTTACAGACAGAAGACTGAAGCTTAGAATTTAAATTACTCACCTAAGATCAGCCTCCGTCCTGGCACCACGGAAGAATGACAGCCTGGACATCGGTGCCTGGTCAGCCCGTGGCTGCCTGGCTGGAGGGGAGAGGCCTGAAGCTTGAAGCTCCTTCCCCGGGGGTCCTGGTGGTGAGCCAGACCCGAGGCTAATGGGAAGCAGTGAGCCTTCTGTTCTCACTCTTGTCCTCAATTATTTGAGTTTTCATAAGGTTCACCATTCACACTAGGGAGCTGGGCTTAGCAAATGTATTTTCCTAAGTGACCAGCTGTCATCCCTGACTTCTAGACCTGAGGTTAAATGTGAGGTTCTTTGAGAAAGGCAGGGTGAAAAATTACCTGTATGCTGTGACTACACAGCATAGATTACCCTAGATTTTTTTTTTTCCAGAAAGAAAAAGATACATTAATATCATAGAGCAAAAAAACAAAAACAAATCCAAAACAATGCTAAAGGAATTTTTCTTTTTTCTCCAAGTTGTATTATGTGGCTATAATAATTTGTATGATGAATATACATTTTTGAAAGTGCAACTAAAGACACCCCATGTGGAACGCAGTGACGTGACCCAGTGAACAAGTGGCAGAGTGCAGGCTGTTTCCTTAGGGCAGCGTGGGTCTGCCCGGCCACTTGGAGTCTGTCCTCGAGGCCAGTAAGAAGAGCTGCGATATGGCCCAGGGGAACAGCGGGGCATAGCTGGTGTCAGAGGGGCTTTGACACATGTGAGGTTAAGCCCCAGGGTCTTTATGTCCTTTGGAAATGCCTCTCTATGACTGGCGCCACCTGGAGGGCTTAAGGGGGACTTTGGGGCCAAGGACCAGAGCTTCGGTGGTCCTCCTGAGAACAGGCGCTTCTTGTAGTGCAAACTCAGAGCACTGGCTCAGGCAGCCACCGTTCTCCAAACAAAAGGCCACTAGACACCTTTAAACACAAAATATTCTTTTATTTGTCAACGAAGGCTACACGGGATCACTTCTGGTTTTGTTTTTATGCCTTTTTTTCCCCCCTTTTCTAGAAGGTATCTACATCTGCATTTATTTACAGCCTTGTCGGTATTTACACAGTCAAGAATACAGTGTTAGAAACACAAAAGTGTTGAGAAAAAAACTTCTCAAAATTAGTTCCAGACTTCAGGAAAATTATTTCCACATGGTAAGGCCAGAGTCTCCAGTGTTGGTCGTCCAGAGGCAGCTTGGGAGAGTCCCGTTGCCAAAGCTGCGGGTTCAGAAGTCTTGAAGAACATCAGGCGGGCCTAGAAAAGTGGGATTCTGGTGTTGGGTGAATCCAGGGCTGCCGGGCACCACCAGACATCTGTGACTCAGCTTCTGTCAGGCTAGCGGAGCCTGCTGGAGCATTTGTTCTCCACTGGCAGTTTGCCCTCAAAATCGAACACATGTTCCTGGGGACCAAGAGGTCACCCGGTATCATGCCTTTGGCATTCCAGAGAGGGTAAGAAACCCAACACCGGCCCGCTGTCTGGGGCGGTCGTGTACACAAGGCTGGTTTTTTGAGAATGTAAAGTTTGGAGAGGATCAAGTTTCTATCACCTGAGCAATGAGTCTTTAAAAGGAGTTTGTTGTTTTTCGAAGGTTAAATGAAAGGGCCTTGAACTACAGAGTTCTTTAATTTCCTCCTGTCCAATAAAATACAGACAAGTATATAAACCTACCTGGGAATTATGAACCTTCAATAGAGGGCTTTTAGTCCTAAATGAGGATCCCAAGGGGTAAAAAGAGACTGGGTTCTTTCTGGGAACCCTCAGGAGGCGGGCCCTAGCTTGGGACCGGAAGCCACGGCTGGGGCTTTAGTGGCCACTGTGAGGGGTAGAGGATAGATTTGACTTTGAGCACCGGGGGAACAAACCCCAAAACCCGAGACCCTGCTGAGGCCTGGCTGACTCCTTCCTCCTGGGCACCGAACTCAGTGTCATGGTCCTCACCATGTGGCAATTGCAGACACAGGCTGCCAATGTAAAACTATTCTAAGATTTCACGTGGAAATCTTGTCTTTGCATATTGGAAACCCTTGCCATTGTTAAAGGTGGTACTTAAAAGTCATAGCTAAAAAGGTTATTATTTAAAAAAAAAACAAATTTGATTCCTTGTTGTGCTAAGTCGCTTCAGTCGTGTCCGACTCTTTACGAGTCTATGGACTGTAGCCCGCCAGGCTCCTATGTCCATGGGAAGGATTCTCCAGGCAAGAATACTGAAGTGGGTTGCCATGCCCTCCTCCAGGGGATCTTCCTGACCTAGGGATTGAACCTGAGTCTCTTATGTCTCTGTATTGGCAGGCAGGTTCTTTACCACTAGCGTCACCTGGGAAGACCCCTGCTATGTGTCTATGGAAACACTGCCCTGTTTTATTCACCTTCCTTGTCTACATCACCTTCTGCTCCCAGCCCCACCTCATGCTAATTCATTAGAATCACACTCTCTGGCCATTTTCAACTTCTGGTCAATTTCTTGGAAATGGTTTCAAATCTTCCATCCCTAGGTAGAAATCAGGTACTGGTCTATTCCGTGGTTTACTTCTCAGCAAACAGTTCTGAGTGGCAAGCATCAGGGGTCATTTCCCGTGGAGTTTCTTTGCCTTCTTCCTGTTGTCATAGCTCCCCCCACTCCAGTGATGTCTGTCTGGTGGGTGGGTGAAAAGGAAATCTCATCCTATAAAACCAAAGTTGGGGAATCACTGAAGTCCTATTTAAGGTGATGATAGACAGGCTGATGGCAGCCGTGGAGGACATAGGAGAAAGTAGGAGCTCTTCTAAAGAAGCTTCCACAAACAGCTCTTCTGCCTTCTTGGGACAGAAGCTATCATTCTGCAGAATAGTGGACAGGGGCCAGTGAGGGCGGGCTGTCACTCGAGGGAAGGGACACATTTTGGTTGGTTAATGTCAAAAGGGCAGGTGCCATCAAAGATGGGATTTGATGCCTGGAGGCTGTTAGGCTGGCACGGGGAACGCTGGCTTATGCCTTCACTGTTGCTGTGACACTGGGACTGCTGGTCCCGGTGGGAAGACAGACAGGAGAGTCACTGAGTCACCTGCGAGCTCGAATGCAAACCAACTCACAAGGGCCAAGGCCAGAAGCACCATCTCCAATAGCAACAGCACAAGGTGAAACTGAGGTGCATGAGGCTGCCTGCCCCACACTTGAGACCCTTTCTCTAAAGGCTGGGGGTGCTTCCATTTCCTCCCATACAGAAGCTAGGCCTCCGTGATGGTATGTAGCCCAGGAAAAAAATAAAACATCATTCATTTAAAGAAAAGTAATGTTCAGTCATTTTCTGTGACTTTGATCTTTAAGAGTCACTGTTACTTTGGGGTTGGAGAGTCAGAGGGTTGGGGAGGTATAGGGAGATGGTTCATTTGGCTCTGACCTCCAAGTAGACGTTTCCAGCAGGTCTGGACTGATGTCAGGAGGTCAGGGTGGAACTGATCATCTAGGCCAATGTGCAGGGCCCCACTGCTCAAGGACCCCTTCCATCAAGATGACATTTGAGAGGCATGTCTATTCTGGATTTAAAAACAAAACAAAACGTGTTCTTCAGGCCCAACTATCTTCCATCCTATTCAAGAAGGATCCCGCCAGATGGGAGCCGCTACCAGCCCCCACCCTGCACGGTGGGCCCGGAAGTCTTGCCATCTGACTCGGCTGAGCTCTGGACGCAGTGGACAAACAGGCCCAAGGTGCACTGTCACGGCAGTGTCACTTTTTTTTTTTGGAAACAGGAAGAGCACTTAGCGAAACGCATCCTCTCATCCCAGTGGGATGACGTCAGGCGAGACCTCCTCTCCCGAGCAGCTTTGGGTGTCTCCCTCCGCCAGGCAGGCCCCCGGCCCGCGTGCTGCGCTGATTCCCACGCAGCAAGAGACTGTCTCGGTTTCATTCACTGCTGGAATATTCTGAAGACTCTGTGAGTAAGGCTATAAAGGTGCCGTGAGCTTGTCAGTCCAACAAGGTTTCCACGGGGAAAGAGCTCAGACTCAAAATTCATTTTCCACACCTAATATAAAATGTAACCCATAGAAGTCCCATCTTCTAAGAAGCCCAGCTTGAAAGGGCACATTTGGCTTCCCCTCCTGGTCTCCCAGAGCCTCCTGTGAGAGGTAATGACGATGGTAATTGGGCAGATGAGACAAGAGAAAGGCGCCCCGGGCTCTCCCCTCCCTTCAGCGCTCCCCTCCAGCCTGGTGGGGGCTGCCTCTCCTGGACAAGCCTTGCAGGTGTGGGCTGGCCACAAGCCTCTACCCACCGTCCTCAGGCGTGGGCCTTCACAGGGGCAACTGTAGCCTGGCTTCCTGCATCTGTGGGCACTGCCCCCAGTCCTGGAGGGGCAGCTTGATGCTGCCAGGCCACACCAAGTTCTCTCTCCTCTCCTCCTTGCTCCTTCATCTCGCTTTAAAACCCTGGTTGGGCTCCTCTAGAGGGGAGAAGCCATCATCTGTTTTAGAAGAATTTCACAGAAGAAATTTCCTGCATCCCAAGGTCTGCAGTTAGCCCGACATGAGGGAAGCAGAGGAGCCTTCCAGAGCTGGTTAGAAGCATGCTTGGTTCACGCCTTCCTCTCTTTGGCTGACTTTTCCTTAAACCTCTTTTCCGGAACCGAAGGCCACCAGGCACCTCTCTCCACACTCCCAGTTCTCAGTGGTGGCAGCTGAGCAGTGGAGGCAAGATGCCCAGAGTCCTGGGAGAGAGGGCTTCAGCTCGCAAGGCAGGCTGGTACCCTTGCCACCAACGCCATCCTTTTGCAGTGGGTGACCTTCTCTTCCGGGCGTGGAGCCCACACGGAGGGCCGGCTGTGCAGTGCTGGTTCTCACATCTGGCTTGGGGAGAGAAGAGGAGCTGAATAAGGAACATCGCGGGAGGACTGCCCAGCCACAGACGCCCTGGGTGCCTCTGCCTCTTAGCCCCCAGGACGAGGTTGCCAACTGGGAAAAAGACCTGGGAGACACGTGCTCCATCCCAGCAGGGGGGTGGCAACTGACAACTACACAGGGTTTGCAAAAGGGGTTGGGGGTTTCATTTAGCATCAAAATATAAAGCTTGGACAGGAGTTTGGGGCAGCTTGAAAAAGGTGCTATGAGATCATGAAATTCCCCAGAGCAAGATGAAACCATCCGTGGTCCTCCGGGGGCATGGAACACAGTGTTAAAAAGCACCCCCACCTGTCTGCGGGAGCTTGGCTAAAGATCCTCGGGTCCTGCAGACCCTCTTTCCAGGCCCTCCGGAAATTTGTTGCTGGCCCATGACTCTCCGCACCCTTCACTCCTGCCCGACCCCCGTGGAAAATAGCCTTGCACGTGGGACAAGTTAGCACAGACACTCATGTCTCACATCACACTGGGGACCTGGGGACAGACGAGGACACACCCCAGGGGCTGCATCTCAGCAAAGAGAAACGTGCCCCAAACAACAAGGAAAACTCCTCAAGGAAAAGGGAACAAAAGACAGTCAAGTTTTCATTGTGATCACACTACAGAAAAAAAAAATACCCTCTGTTCTTTGCAAAAAATGTGTGAAGGCCAAATCTGTGTTTTTCTTTTCTTAAAAAAAAAGGATGTTGCATGAGTTACAATGCAACCAAGTATCTTTTTTTTTTTGTTTTTTTTTGCACTTGTTAAAAAAAGGATTTTTTTTTCTCTCTTTTAAGTACAACACAGTCAGGTACGCGGCCACAAAAGAGTAGCTGTCTTTGGCAAGAAGTCCCGGCCGTGGTCCTCTCTGTCACCTCCGGCCCATCTCACTCTGTCTCATGAAGTGGATGTTGTTGGCGCTGTCTGACAGTTCTGGGTACTGCTCGACCGAGATCACGAAGAAGCCATCGTAGCCTTGGACCCGCCCCGTGTTCAGCACCTGCTGCCTCTCGCCCTCGGTCCAGGCCCGCAGGCCCTCCTCCCCTTCCCGAAGCCGCTGCTGCTCGCGGGCCCAGGCCTGACGCACGGCTCTCTGCCGGGCCAGCTCCAGCACCCGCGCCTTCTCCTCGTCCAGAGTGGCCCCGTAGCGCGTATTCAAGCACAGCGCCCCATGCTGGAGCTGGATGTCTGTGTAGCGTCTAGTCCTGCCGTTAAGCATCGTGTTCATCTGGGAGACGGTGACGTTGACCCCGTTCTCCAGGGTTCGCCGCCCACCGCTGAGGCCCAGGATGGCCAGGTCGCCTTCCGAAGGCCCCGGTTTCACGAAGTAGTGGGTGTCCACCCCATCGATGGTAAAGTGCAGGTTCTCCAGGTAGTGGGCGTTGTTCAAGATGGCAGCAACCCTCCGCCCGTCCTCGTTGGCCACGCTGATGATGTCTGTGGCCACGCGGCCATCCTTCAAGGCGAACTTGACCCCCTTGCCGAACACGGAGCCGCTGGATGCAAACTTCTTTGTCTCTGGGGCCTGCTGGCAGCTGGTGACTGTGGAGCCATAGAGCTGGTCAAAGCGTTCCAGGGTGACGAAGGCCTTGAGCTGCTTCTGCACTTCACATTGCACCCCGAGGATAGACTGATGTGGGGAGGAGAAAGAGAGAGTGAAATAAAGTGGGGAAACCACCAGTCGGCCTGCATGACTAAGTCTAACTTATACAAATACACTAACCTGTAGCATCTAGCTCTACTGCTGACCACTAGGACACCCAGCCCTTGTCCTAGTAGCGTCTAGTCCTGCCGTTAAGCATCGTGTTGATCTGGGAAACAGTGACGTTGACCCCGTTATCCAGGGTTCGCCGTAAAAACACCCATGTATTTAACCCTTCCTTCCACTCAGAGGCTGTTCAGGGCGCATCTACTCAGGGCTCAGTTGCCTTCTCAGCACCGGGGTCACAACAATGAATCAGACATCATCCCTGTCCTTGAAGAACTCCTTGTTTCATGGGGAAAGACAAATGTACAATGAATAACTACAATCAAATGTGAGGACTGGTGGCCTAAGAGAAGTGACAGTAATAGCTATAGCCAATACGTCTTGGTCTTGGAGCTGAATAGTTCACATTCATTATCTTGTTGGATCCTCACAATAACTTTATACAGTAGGGGTTTTATTATTCTGGTTTTACATCTGAGAAACTAAGACTCAAAGAGGTTGAGACTGGCCCACGGCCATACAGTAGTAGGTATTCAAGCCAACATTCGAACCCAGGTCTTTCTGATTCTAGAGGCTCAGTTCAAGGGCTACTGGAGTCGGGAGGAGCAAACACAGCGCAGGATATGTCGGCCTGGAGGCAGAGAGGCGAGGTGGAGAAGGTGAAGTTCAAGGATAGGCTCACACCTGAGTTGGGACTTGGAGGATGAGGGGGTGATGTCAGGTGCAGCCATGATGAGGATGTACTCTTGTCTAGAGGCTTAGTAAGATGGAAAGCAGTGGTTTACATGAACCCTCTTGTGTGTGTGCTAAGTCGCTTCAGTCCTGTGCAACTGTTTGTGACCCTGTGGACTGTAGCCCGCCAGACTCCTCTGTCCATGGGATTCTCCAGGCAAGAATACTGGGGTGGGTTGCCATGCCCTCCTCCAGGGGCTCTTCCTGACCCAGGGATCAAACCCTCATCTCTTACATCTCCTGCATTGGCAGGTAGGTTCTTTACCACTAATGCCACCCGGGAAGTCCATGAATCCTCTTAACCTGCTTTGTTGCTCTCTGCCACATTTAGAAATGATTTTCAAGGATGACCTCTGTCTCTACAAAGCTTCCTGGAGGCTCCTTAAGTGCCCCTGCTCTTGGCTGCTTTAGGGAACAGGTTGGGCCTGTCTCCTTGGCATACCTGTCCCTCCCGTGGCTCAGGAAGCTATGGTAAGCCGCTCTCAGGCAGGCTGCAGGGCTTTATCAGCAGCTCAGGCAAAGGGCTGCAGAAACAGGCCCATCAGGTTCTCACGGAAATTAAGTCCTCTTTATAATTAATAGAACCCTGTCTGTGAACAATTATTTCCTAGAGTTTCACGAAAGCCAGAGTGCTCAACAACAAAGATCTCCGATGCTTGCCAAGGGCAGAAATCAATAATTCATTGACAGGAGAGGCAGGCAAAGGGGCCGTCAGGGACTGTGGCTCTGGGAGCGGGTGGCGGAGGGAGCCTGGAGTTGGGGGCGCCGCTGAGAGGCTGGAAGCAGCCCCGGGAAGACGGTGCCGTGGGCAGCTGGGGGGACCTGGAGGGGAGGGATGGTGGGGCTGGAGAGGGCAGGGGCAGGCGAAGGCCACAGAGAGAGAGAGGCTTTGCGACCAGATGGACTTGGGCTCTCATTGCCTTCTGCTACTTTGCAGCTGATCTTGGACTAGCTTCCTTTCTCAACTCTGGTCTCCTCTGTAAAGTGGGGGGAAAAGGCTGAACTCACAGAATCGTTTACTTCTTTCAACCATTTGGTCATTCAACAAAAAGTGTTCCGGGCACCTGAGAAATGTGCAAGGTGGTAGGCCGGGTACCAAATAAGACCCACTACTTGCCCCCTTGGGGTTCAGGGTCTAGTGGAGATACAGGAAAGAAAGTAAGAATGAAAATACAGTGTGGTAGGGGAGCTGTAGGTGCCATCAGATCACAGGGGTCCAGCATCATGTTCTGCAGAGTCTAGGCGAAGGAAACAGCCAGGCTGAGACCTCATGGAATCTGGCCAGAGTAAGAGATGTGGATGCATCAGTTTCTGATTGTCAGCCGCATGCCTTCTGCAACCTAGACTTCCTCCTCAGTCTCTTGTCCCCCTGGACAGGGATCCCCTGGAAGGCCCAGTCTCTGCCTGATTCATTCCTGCCTTCACTGGGCTCCTGCAGCATGGGGTCTGGAAGAGCTGGCTCCTCGTACAGATCTTATGAATGAGGGGGACAGTGGGAAGAAACAAGCAAATGGGTGCAGGAAGTGAGGGGTGGGGTGAAACTGCTCTTATGGATCTTTATAGCCATAAAATTCTATGAGTCTTTGTGTCATAAATGGAAGATGGAGAAAGCAACATCCTTTTGAGCACCTACAGACAGATCTGAGTTTGAATCCCACTCTACTCCATCTTGCTGGGTGGCATTTGAAAGCCTCAGGCGTTAAATCTCTAAAATGACAACAATGATACAGGGGGATATTTTTGTGTTAATTTATAAAGAACACCTCACACAAGGCATGTTGAGGGTGCTCAGGAAATATCACATTTGTACTTAGAACGCACCTTTCCTCGTATTTTTGTTCTGGGTTGGGGCAAAGGCTCACTGTGCAGAACTCCAAACTCAGTGTAACATACAAAGCTCCTTAATTTGGCTCATGAGGATCTGTGCACCATTATGGCTGTGTCCACAGTGATCTGCCAGGGTCACTGACTTATCTGCTCAACAGTTTCTGGTAAGCACTGCAAACGCACCACGTTGGTTTCTATTATTGGCCTAAGTTTTTCTGAAAAGCTGGTGGGACCCATTCCTGGGATGTGAGCCACGTGTGTGAATTACCTTGCTGTTGTCCCACTCCTGAGTTTTCATCTGTGTGTGGACGAGCTCGTAGGACGGTTCCACAGCATCCATGTCCGGCTTGGGATAGCCGGGGATCACGTTGTGAAGCTGGAATCCGAAGGTGAGGAGCCAGCTGTTGACATCTGGGAGGGAGAGAAGAAGCAGAAACATTCCTGTGGAGTCAGCGGACCACATATGTGACACATCCCGAGAAGGCAGCCTAGAGGAAGGCTGCTGGGGTGGGGTGAGGACGTGGTGGGCGGCTGGTGGGAGAGTCAACAAGCACGCCGGAAACCGTTTCATAGTATGGAAGCCGAGCGTGCTCTTGGGGCCCAGTGATCCCTCCTGTGGATGTATCTGAGAGTGATGTCATGCATGTAGAACCTAAGCTTCCCAACTCCTCTTTCAACTGTCACTTGACCCCGAGGACCTTCAGCTTCACCACCAGGGGCAGCTGTTGATGGATGAAGACCCCTCTCATCCACTTAAACGTCAATAGGAGACACAGAGGACAACCACACCAAAAGGAAAGACTTTAATGAATGACTTTCAAAGAGAAAATTCACTTAAGAAATAAACTCTTTAACCCTCTTCCAATCCTTTCTGCAGAGATTAGAATCTCAGGGCCAAAGTGCATTGGCCTGTGCTAAGTTGCTTCAGTCACATCCGACTCCTGGCGACCCTATGGACTACAGCCTGCCAGGCTCCTCTGTCCCTGGGATTCTCCAG